GTGCGCAACCTAGAACGTTTCAATTTTGTAGGAGTACAGATGACATATGGGAAACATGGTGATAACAGGGAGGACGTGGATGAGTTCGACTATTCTGAGGGGAAAGGCGGGTGGAGAGGAGAGCGGAACTTTTGTGAAATGGGTGCAATGGGTGCTATTTGAGTGAAGATACGAAGTCTATATGGGATAAATGGGTAGTAACCCGAGATACTCTTACAGAAAGGACTTGAACAGGACTCCGCTCATAGCTGGCGGCAGAAGTGTGAAGGATAGTATATTCTGCCGGAATTCTATAAGTCCTGCTTTTGTTTACCAGAGATCCAATTAAGGAATAGGTACAGGTGGTGGGTCAATTTCAACACGGAATGGAAGAGCCCTGTGCTGGCTGGACGATCCAGCTGCTTTTCTAAATAAGCTTCAACGCTGAAGAGTTAGAAGAGTTTAGAGTTAGTGTATCACTGGTAAGCACTGTTAAGTACTCACAGGTAAGCACGGTCACCTTCCAGGTAAAAGAAGGACCAGTGAGGCGATAAAAGCTGCTGAGCATAGCTCTCTCACTCTGAAAGCATGGGTCTGATCACACGGTTCGACAGTGTTGTTGTTTCACAACGTTTGGACACAGCTGCATAACATTCTGAGAAAATTATACGTACCGGATTGTTTTGAGCGGTAAATAGGGCTCTAAAATGACCGCAGGTGATACCTAGAAGCACAACAAATGGCAAAAAGATTTTAGTGTATTCAAAAATTGGACACAAGATATAATAACCAGTATTAAAATTCGCAGAAGTGTTTGCTCTCGACTTTTTATTGTTATCATCTCGGAGATTTCGTTCTACAACAACGACATTCCACCTTGCTGAAGTGGTAGTGGCCAATCATAGTGACGAGTGTGCTCAACCGCTTCATCAAAGAGCTTACGCGAAAGTCACATGCTTCTATGAAGGATCTCCACAGTCCTATGCGTCAGAAACTCCATGGCCATGAATTTTGGGTGGTTCATAACGCTGATGATAGTGGTAAACCACTACCATCACCAAATCGATCCGAGCAAGATTAGGTGGCATTGATCAATCCCTTCTCAAAATGCTACATTGGCCTTTGAGTGCGTGTTTGTCTCGAAGGTATCCACTGAATTCCAAAGGTCAGTCAACATACTAGAAAGTGTTTTCAGACTTCCGGATGAGTTCAGTGCCATGTATGAAACTTCGAAGAGCAGGAAAATCTGGCACTCTACATCACCTCCCCTTCTGTCTGCCTATCCTGTAGGAATTTGGATAGAGAACTAGTACCACAGCTATTAAAACTGTCACAAATCCCTTCTGGTGACCATTGCCGAGGCTCTTTTCCACATTGTCACTTGATTGCGTTTTTGTTTAGAATATTGAAAACATCTGTTCCCAGTTGTTTCATGAATTTTTTAAGTGTCTAGATAATTGCAAAATGCAATATGCGAAATGCAGTGCATGTAGTAACATCGCCAAAAACTCCATTTGATTACATTCTTGAATTGAATATTGTTGACTGATTTCGCTCTAGCGAATACGGTATGTGTGTTCGCCATCAAAGGCTCTGAAATCTAATTCAATACGCAAGCATAATTTAACAACATTTACACCATGTTTTTGCTAAAAGGCGTTGACTCGGAGATGTTTTCATTCTCTTAGTTTCGCTCAAGCCGGTGATCACCGATTATGTTATTGCAGCGATTAGACAGAAATCTCTGATGTTCAATGGTTAAGGAACGAAAGCAGATAACTGCTGCTCAACGAGCTGGCATTGATTCGACGAGTCCACGAAAAATAGCAGTCGACTTGAGTTCCATTTACTAGCAAGGTAAGCCAAGTTTGGCATGTACATAGATAAGAAGATTTGGCTCGGCCAGTACAGATGCCTCATGTTTCTCTTCTGTAGCACGCCCTTCCCATTAGAAGTGAATTTTGGGTCAATGGTATTCAGCACCGTATTCTTGTAACTCCTTTCAGTCATTCTTCTCCCAATTTTGAAAATGAGACGCGTTACTCCTAACGAGGATGCCGATCACCATTAACGATCCTCTACAGTGCTTGGCAGCGCGTTTAGTGTTAACGGATTGTATCTTTTCTTTATCCTTATCATCTTTCGTGATGGAACCTCTCACTTACTTGACGCCATCAAGTCCGAAAAGCTTGAACTTGCTTTCGTCGACGAAGAGAACATTGCTTCACTTGCTCGATGTTCAGAGGAGATGGCGACGAGTAAGCTCTACAGTTGCTTCTTAATTCCTTGAGCTAGTGGGCGGTTCTTTTCGAAGAGCAGCCAGCAACCGACTTTGCTGCTTAAGTCGGCATCGAACACAGCTGCAACATTCGTGCCGAAACGCGTGGGATTAATCTTGTCGAATGAAGTGCGCGAGCGTTCTTCTAAGAAGAAGACGTCAAATACAGTCTGCCGGCTCTCGAAAGGTCAGCTACGGCAATCCTTTTCCCAGTTAAAATCCTCGGTCGATCTGAATGATGCGTACGTGGCCTATACAATGACTTTTGATGGACAGCCAATGTAGAAGTAATGCTTTTATCTTCCAAGACAGGTCTACCGAAAGAATGGAGTGCTGGATTGACCTAGGTGAATATCGAGCCGTGATACGATCTTCGGACCATGACTGTGTGATAGTGCACCATTTCCCACTTCACTGCGTCCAGCATGAACAAAAATTAGAAAAGAAAAGAAGCCATGAAATTTTACAAATCCGTTTTTCCAACGGTTAATTGGAGAAAATGATACACAAAATTTTAGTGCCAACAAAATCGTGCGAAATTTCCTATAGCTCTTAGAATCGTTGATTTTGCTTCTGCCTCAAGGTTGGTGGGTGGAAATATTCATCTATACGTTTCGACAGACTCGTCATTTTCAAAGACCTGAAAATGGTTCAAAGCTTGTTGATTGCACACTACCCCACCGAGCGCCTCTTCCGAGCTAGCGTTTCTGATGTTCTATCAGGAATGCACGGAAAATGTCCAAAATCCAAAAGATAAGCTCACCTCACTTCCACCGCGAAGTGTACCTACGCTACACGGTTAGTACATTAGTAGCGAATGAACTTAAAATTAAATTAAATCTAAAAAAAGAAAATCTTAAATTTCCTATACTATATGGAGCATTCTTTTGTACAATGGAAGAATGAAGTCGATTGGCTCTATAAGGTACTGCTAGTTTATCCATTAGATTTACTGTATGGAGTAAGTTTGTAGCAACGGTGACAACATTGCCTTCAATTTTTATTACAGAACCCGATTGACCCTTTAAAGCAATGTCACCATATTGGAAGAAGGGCATCAGGCAAACGCCAGCAATTTTGTTTTCCGTATTTTCTCAAGATTTGTTGAATTTTTTGGGAACTCTGTCAAGGATGGAATTTTAAGAGCACCCATTGTGCTTTCAAGATCAAATTGAGCATTACAACTAACTTAAACAACTATACATACAGCTATACAAGCTCAGTACTATAAGTGTGACTATATAAGTAGTCCTACGAAAAATGTGAACAAGCGGTAAATCATACAAATAAGAAGAGAAATTCAACGAAGCAAGAGTTCACAGTTCTACAGGAAATTACAAATGTCCCTGGAATAGCCAAGCTGACAGAATTTCTCCAATATTGAATGAGAATACTAGNATAAGTGTGACTATATAAGTAGTCCTACGAAAAATGTGAACAAGCGGTAAATCATACAAATAAGAAGAGAAATTCAACAAAGCAAGAAATCACAGTTTTACAGGAAATTACAAATGTCCCTGGAATAGCCAAGCTGACAGAATTTCTCCAATATTGAATGAGAATACTAGTCGATGGATGCTCTGAGCGGTTATATGTAACCGTGAGTAAAACAGTTGACAGGATCCCTTGAAAACATTCATTCGAAAAACAAATACATAGGTTACAAAATGATTGTTGGAAGCTCTTACAGAACATTTCCAGGTATTCCGCAGCATTATGCTGATCTCCAGAAATAAAACTCCAGCCATAAAATGATCCTATCCTGAAGAATCTGCCATTCCCTCCACGGAACAGAAAAGCATTTTATATTCTTCGTCGATCCACGGTCTGCACGGTAGCAACAGATTTTATTGTCTGCTGTTTTTTCATGAAGAACATACGAAGTACCTCGCCACGGATCTGTCGGTTGAGGCAGAGATACATGATGCCGTGAAGTCCTTAAAATCATTACACAACAGATAAAAAAAATAGCAGTATGAGAAAAGCGGTTTTGTTTCTGAAAACCACATTCATATAAGTTTATCTGAAAGAGATCTTTTGTCGCTTTACCACATCGGTCCTAAGCTACACGGTTCATATTAAATTTACACTCCATTCACTGAAATGGCATGTGTTCATTATAGAATAAAGCATGAATGCTCATCACTTGAAGAAGAGAGATAGTGGGAGCGTGGTGGGGTCGTCACATTTCGCTAGCTCTTAACAGCCTTTATCACGATCAATCATCTATCACAGTCATCAGCTTATACCATTTCCCATCATCTCATAATAAATGAATAAATGATGTTTTACCGTGACTCAACTGCCAAAGAATATGCGATGCTATTGCCATTGTAGGAGGTGCAGGGAACAACATTAACCAAGAGTAAAGAAGCGCTGTCATTGCAACGGTCGTACAAATAAATAGAGCCTGCGTAAACAGCTGAAATATCATTTTACCATCTCGGAACATTCTGTGAAATTCTCTAGAACCACCGAAAAAATACCGAATACTGGTTACTACAGTATTCAATAAGTTATGATTTTTATGCAATTTCATGCTGACTGAAAATTGATATCATACAAAGTTCTCTATTAAGTAAGTAGACATTTGAAGCAAACATGTAAAAACTTTCGAGCTTTTTTTGTTAAGATTCTTCATCGAATCATCTGAAAGTTCTCATGAAATTGCTGATAAGAGCAGGGTTCAATTGTACACGCATAATGCTTCCTACTGCCTCTCCTCTTTATAGGTTGACCACATGATATCAAACCTGTCCTTCCATATACAACAACAACGTTTTTACCACTTTGAATCCAGTCGCAACCTTGTGCCAAGCATTTGTCCTCGAACTCCACTGTAAGTGACTCTGGGCACACCTCGTTACATCCTTTTACAGTCTGTTACAAAAAGAGACCTACACCTGAGACCTATACCTACCTCAGCCATATTATTGAATTTTCTCAAGTGTGATGCGGATACAAGTAAGAACTGTTCTTTAGAGTACCTCTACAGAAACGTCCGGCAAATACTCGGAGAAATCTGGATTATAAAGAAAGTTTCGGCAAATACCTCCTTTAGACCACCTTTCAAACGCGTTTACTGTAATTTTGAGGTGACCTTCCTAGGTCGAAGAGCAAAGATAAAGTATTTAAAGTCTGTTTGGCGTTAATCATCCCGCATCCCGTCCGAAGGATGCGCCCCCCTTCGACTTCCACTCAGAATAGTAGTGGCGGTTCAAATGCTTATGTGGCCTATACAATGACTTGCGGTGGCCAGCCGATGTACAAGCCAGTGCTTTTATCCTCCCAGGCGAATCTGGTACCAANCTCGAACCCGCGACCGTGCGTGCGATATAGTGCGCCACTTGCCATTACACCACCTCCGCCCAATTTTGAGGTAACCTTTCTAGGTCGAAGAGCAAAGATATCGGTTGAAATAGTACATCTATAGCGAGAGGAAAAAAACTTGGCAATCCTCCTACTTCGCGAAAAAGGAAGCTTCCTGAAAGTAGTAGAAATAGGGCCCTTTTGGGATTACCCAGAAGTGACTGGCACGAAAGGGTATTCGGACGAGTGCAACTGAAATTGTAACATTGGTGACTACTGGAATTGTGCAACATATCCAGAAGCAGTGGAACTTATTCGCGTTGGGTGCGGCATACAGCCGGGACAATCTTCGAATCATTATGACGCCTTGCCTAGACCGCTTTTTGACATGACAGCGTCCCACACGGTATACGAGGAGCCGCAAATTTACCCCAGAGGATATCCCAAAAGCCAATTTATTGTGAAGTGGACCGTTGATAATTTACTTTTTCCACTACTAACGTCGGATTGCTGTTTGACACAGTTTGTGAAAAAATGTGATATCACTGTAAAGATCAAACTTCGTATTTAACATATCACGCATACCTGTATTTGTAACTTGTGATTGCCTCCTTTCACGAGACTGCGCATTTTGATAATATTGAAGCAAAGAAATGAGTACAATGTGAATAGCACGAACACCACGGTTACATTGTACGATGGCACAAAAAGATGAGCAAAATAAGAAGATTCCTGAAAAAGGAACATTCGGAGTCAGCATGAAGTCATAAAAATCGATTAGTTCTTTACATTCAGTGACTAAGAAATACGTATGTTCCTGCAACTGTTTTTGTACTTTGGAATCAACTTTTACCCTTTATTGCGAAGATTCTGTAGGGATGAGTGACGCCACTGCTACTCGTCTAGTAGGCTTGGGAACACTGGAAGCAGTGGGAGAATTGGGAACAAATCCCCAATCAAACTAATTAGACCATCCAACCTAGGTCGATCAATCGACACAAGGCTGCCTGGAAGAACATCTGACAGGTTTTTTGGCTGTCCCCCGCAAGTCCTGTTTGGGCCACATAAGCAATAAAACCGCAATACGGCTTTAAAAAATAACGCCCTTCAGAATAACCGCAGTTTTCCTTCTTTCAATCGTTAACAATAAATTTTTTGGCATCCAACATCTTGAATTTAATGGTTTGAAAACTTTACTTTATTGATTTATTACTACTTCCATTCATTGGTTTTCGATAATCTATATATCGACCTTGGAAAGCTATCTTGTACTCGAAGCTGATGTCGATCCCCAGGATGTAGTGTACTGAAAATTGCGAACGAAGAAAAAATACGAGTATATTTACGAGACTTACTTGAGTAGCGTTATCAGTAATGACTGGCGATATAATGAAAGTGCCAATTACTGAGTTGAAAGGATGTGTCCGGGAAACGAACGGGAGAATCGCCATGAAGACTACCGATAAAACCATCCATAACGAAAGTAACTTTCCTGAAAGAAATTTTTCCCATTACTCAAAGAGATGTGGTGAAATTTCGCGGATAAGAGAAGGCATTGATTCAAGGGTAAGAATTTTTCAATGGATTATGCAGCTCTCTTTTTTCAGAGTTTTGCACATTTTCATTATACGAATAGAAATAACAAAAAAAAAGACATCAGATTACTGCTAACTGGTCGTGATTCTATTCCTTCAGAGCTGACAGGGTCGGCTATCCGTGTTCAGTTAATTACTAACTTTTATAATGATTGCTCACTTTTGGTGATACCACATAGAAACGGTATCGAAATTTGGTTTGCAGTTCCCTCTAAGGAACAAAAACGTACCTCTGAACAGAAAGCCAAGCCCACTAGCTGAAGGAGTCATTTCAACAACTCGATTCAAAGCCAATACCATACAGTTGAACGAGGATCCTAGCCACACACCTGAATTCCGTAGAGTTGGAACAACTGTAAGTATTCTGACATTTGCTTAAAAACTTAAATCACTTTCAATTTTGTGGAAAGTATTTGTTGGTAGCAAACAATTAGAAGGTTCAAGATTATCAAAACAATCTGCTAACATAGTAAAACTAACACCACGAAAAATGTCCCGCAAACCAGTTGAGCCCAATGGACGTACAGAAAACGGCGCCAGTCTGAACAGATATCAAATAAGAACGGAAACTTTTTTGCCCATTGGAAAAGAGCAGATTCGAGTGGCATTTCCATTGCACTTCGATTTGCACTAATTCTCGAAAGAATGGGCCCGAGCCAGATCCTGACTACTAACGTAACCTAGTGGACTACAGCTCAGCCTATGTACCTGTAGCAATACCTTGTTAGAAGTATATACCGAAGTATTCACTGAAACACGAGGAGAGTGACTTTTCTATGCCATTATAATATGTATAGAGCACCACCACAAATTTTGCTGCGTGAAAAACTCAAATACTCACGAAGTCGAAGTAAGCACTAATAAATGAACCAACGAGTATATCCATATTATCGATGATGCCATTGAAAAACATCAAACGATAGCACGGAATTCTCAGCAGTTTACCACGAAACATACCAATCAAACATAAAATGTAAAGAGCCTGAAATTTTTTAACCTCATCAGTTGCTTAAATTGTATCTGAGAGTTAAGTTGAGCTGGGTCTCACTCTATCAAAACCGCATTTACTCTTGCTTGGGTTGAGTGGTGGGCCACAAAGATTTACTGTTGTGAAGACTAGCTATTGTTACACTTCTACTACTCCTACTGGACCCTTTCCGCAGAAGGCTAGAATTGGAATCGAATGAAGATGTGATCACTTTCGAGGCTCCACAGTTGATACTGGAATCTGATTCCTTCAGTTTTTTCCCACTCTCGAACCCGATATACAGCCTAGTCGCTATAAACTTTCTGAAGTTGAAATCTTTTCGAAACAGTGATAACTGACCATGAAAATTGATCCTGACACAGTGAGGTAGATACCTTGTACGACATTTGCTGTACCTCTACTTTCCCATTCCGATAACGAGCGAATACTGCAGTTATACTCAGACTGGTTAATTACCCATGGAATATTGAAATAAAATACGGCCATTTTACGAACATCAATCAATTCAAGGAGATCTCACTAAGCCGTAAAGTTCACGTGATTGTGGCTGATTGAACAGCAGATTCTAAACAAGTAAATAATGACGACGAGCCAAATAAAAAACTTGTTCACAAAAAAGGAAGTTGGAAGCTATTGAGGGGCATTACTGTCTTATGACACAAAACAATGAACATATTATGCATGCAATCATACAAAATGTGGGTGTTGTTCCTGTAACATCGAGAATTCGACATCATCGAAAAGGTTTGAACTTATTGTTGGATAGCTGCAGTATTAAGAATTCGAAGACCAGATCGTTCAAAAAAAAAAAGATTCCAGCTCATTATGATGCCTATACATCATTAAGAGCCAACACTTGTGATTCAAATCCACAGAGAGTTCGGTCACCTACTGGGAAAAAGAGATAGGTTCAGTGGGTTGACTAGACTAAATGACCATAGTTCTCTGTCTGAATACAAGGGCCTAATCACCGTTAGGCGGCACTGTTGTTTCACAACGACTAGCCTCAGCTACACAGCATTCTGAGGAAATTATAGGTACAGGATCGTTTTCAGTGGTAAACACGACTCTGAAATGACAGCATTCCCTGATCCCTAGAACACGACAGTGACCAAAAAGATTTTAGAGTAGTCACAGATTTGACAACCAGTATAAACAGATTCGCAGAAGTGAATGCTTCCCACTTTAAACTTCTTTGTGCCTTCGTTTTATATGAACAACATTTCATCTTGCCCCTGTGGAGTGGCTCATAATAACTGCGTGGGCATCAGAGAGTAAGCTCCACTGCTTGGGTAGGGGGACATCAACGGTCTCATGATGAATACTTGAAGGATCTCCAAAGCCTTGCGCTCTAGAAGCCCTATGGTCACAAACTTTGGGTGGTCCATGATACTGATGGAAGGATGTACCACAAAAATCAAAAAGTCGTTCACATACAAGATTAACTGGCATTGATCTGTCCCTTTTCAGAACACTACGTTTGGCTTCTATCCAGGATTGTTGTGGCGTTATTAACATATTTACTGACTTGCAAAGTTCAGTCAGTATACATAGGTATGACGGGAAGTGCCCTCATCCTTCATGTGCTGCTGTCAGGTGAGAAACTCTGAAGAGAATGAAAGCCTGGGCAGGCATTGATCAGGGAAGGATCGATACCGACCACTCATACGTTATGGTAATGAAATATTCCGTTCTACACCACCTCCATCGCATTATCTTGGTCCTTACAACCTGTCTGCCTATCCTACCGAAATTGGTGTAGAGAAATCCCACAGTGATTACAACTGTCGCAAGTCCTTTTATTGATCATTGCATAAGCTCTTTCTCACATGGCCATTCAATGCTGTTTTTGTTTGGAATATTTAAACATCTGCTTCAAGTTGTTTCCATGAAATCTTTTGAGATTCTAGAAACTAGCAACACTCATGTGGTAACCGATCGTGAATGTCTTGATTCAGACATTTATGTGAGTTTGAGTCAGTTTCTTCAGTAGCTAATATATAAGACTGTATGCATGGTAGCTCACGTTATCAGTCAAGTTCTTTTAACTTTAAATACACAATAGAGGTATTCGATGGGCCTTCAGAACAGTCAATTGCCCAACTCAAAACCCAATCTTTACATCAATTATGATTTTGGAAGGTTGGTTGGACGACTTGACTGGTAATTCTATTTCAATCCGTTCTTAAATATGGGGTTATTTTTTTGCTTAACTAGGGCATTTGTCAAGTTCACCATCATGGGCTCCAAAGTTTCACTCAACGCGCAAGCATAATTCTATAGCGTCTAGATCACTAGTTTTGCCAGAAGTCGTTGACTAAGAAATGTTTTTATTTTCTTTGTTTTTAGTCGTAAGCGTAATATTTACCGGTTATAATGTTGTAGCAATTAGAGACAAGTTCGTGGTACACAACGGATCGAAAACAGTAATTTTATGAAGAAAAGATTTGTAATGTGTACACTGTAACAACAGGTTTGCGAAAAATCAGGGTTTCTCGTTGGAAAGCAACAACATGAACCTACAATTATGGAAGCTGTTTTGCAACTGTGTACACGAAGAAATTTTTACTTCGGTTAGTCGAATTTGATGGGATCTTTGGAAGCTTGTCGCTTGAGCTATGAAAATCAGTGATAAAGAGAGCCATTACAAAGATTTATCATTCTGAGCTACCGGTAGACCTTCTACACTTTTAGGGTAACAAACAGAGGTTTCATATCTATCGAATTTTTCCATTTTTTAACCTCATCTTGGCAGAGACCACACTCAAGGTGGATGGCCAAAACTTGTGCAGACTACTCGATATTTCGGAGATTCTTCGAATTTCGGGAAAGGATCATCGAACGACGAATTCGCTTGAAAAAAAATAAGTGGCATCCATTACATACACTTGATTTTCAGGCTGTTGAACTAGTCCTATATCGAAGTTTAGCTGAGAGCCGGCGAGAAGAATGACTTTGATCTCCTGATCACCAACTAGCACAAATAAAGTTTATAAGAATTTATTTGGGCTCGCTATGAAGGTTGGCTTGAAAACCAAAACCTTTATCTCACATGGACAGGCTATAACCTTACTTTAATCAGGAGTCATGTGGATTGTCACCTAGCAAAATTACCGAGAAGAGAAAAGTCCAACAGTCAACTCGAACAAGAAAACATAGTGCTGTTCGAAACCGTGCAGCTTGTCAATTCGAATGCTGAATGTTGACGTCGTCACATCAGGTTCAGAGACATGCCTCTAAACATAAGGTAGCCCAGGGAGCCTGCAGTTCAAGTGTGCCCTGAACTACTCGGATCTGATTATTAGAGCTGATAGAAGGATAAAAGAAAGGTAGGGTAATCGTCATTCAAAACGTGGAGCGGGAAAAGACAAAAAAGTCGCAATCAACTATGTACAAATAACGACCCGTTCAAAAAAAAGACTACATAGCAACCGAAAACCAGTGGAAGAAGATATGCATTGTCCGATATACAGTACCAGTCAAATGTACCCGCTGTAATGGGTTTTGTCACTCACATTTTTCTTATTTGACCGATTTGCTTTCAAATTTTGTATACCCTGCCTAGCAATTTCATAAACAAAAAACGCCTCCTGTATTTTCAATCAACAGCAGCAATTAAAAAAGAACAGGTGAAGGTCAAACGTATGATCTTTGAGAGAAGTTGCCAAATTCCAGGCAAAAGGAAAGAACTATACCACTAAAGATTTTGTAGTAAACACTTAAAATCAAAACCCATAACTGGGTTAAACAAATAAAATTTCGTTGGGAATGATGAGTTTTGATTACTGCTGCGCAACGAGCTGGCATTGATCCGACAAGTTTATGAAAAATGGCAGTCGACACGTGTTCCATTCACTAGCAAGTTAAGCAAAGTTTGGCGTATAGATAGGAAGATCGGCTCGGCCAGTCCAGAAGACACATATTTCTCTGCTGAAATGCTCCTTTCACATCAGCGGTGTGTTTTGGGTGAATGAATCGCTGTAGAATCCATTCGGCTGGCATGTTCTCTTCCGCTCGTGGCAAGATTTTTTCATCACCGTATTTACGTAGCTCTATCCAGTCATTCTACCTTCAAATCTGGAAATAGAATCCATTCGGTTGAAAACGAATGCGCCGTTTTATTGACGATACTCACCGTGCTTGGCAGACGGTTCAGTGTACCTCAGGTTGTATCTTTCACCAAAATAACCTCTCACCATTTTTAGTACTTTTAGGTCCTAAAAGCATGAACTTGCTTTCATGATGGAGAAAAGAGAACTTACTGTGATTAGAACTTCACTCCACTTGCTTGAAGTTCAGTACAGATGGCGCCGAGTAAGATATACTCATTACTCGAGACAATAAGCACTTTTTCTTAGGAGGACACCGATTAAGTGCTGCATTGAGTCTTCACCCCAAAACGCGCCTCGTTATAACTAGCCAACTCCAGCATCAAACTTAACTGCACTGTCGACGCTGGGAAACGTGAGATCGGTCTTGAGTTGAGTAAGGTGGGCGAGTGGCATTCTAACAAGTCTATATTGAATGCGGAAACGAGTCAGAATAAATGATACGGTGCTTTCTAGAATCTTCAGCGCCTTCACCGTTGCACCTCCCATGCCGGCTTCCTTCGTATCCAGTACAGCTTTGCATTTACATTTCGAAGCCTCGGCCTTCCTCACCATTGCAAAGTCGGTAATAACTAGAAATGAGGACAGGAAGCCATGAAATTGTGCCAATCTATTTCTCCAACGACTATTGAAGGATTTTATTGTGAGACTTGAAGGACATTTGATTGGCAACAAAAGCGTGCGAAATTTATCATAGCAGTTGTAGAGCAATCTTTTGTGCAATAGAAGAAAGAGGTTCATTACTGCCTTTGAGTGAAAGCTAGCAGCTGTTAGAGCGAGTGCTTGTTTACTCAAAATGTCATATATGGTGTAAGGATATAACTACGATGACGATATAGCCTTCCGTTGGTATAAAAGGATCCTGACGCCTCAAAGTAACGTGATCATTTTGAGAGCAGGGTCATCAGCAAACGCCAGCAACCACGTTTTTCGTAATTTCTCAAGTTTTGGTAAATTTATAAAATTGAGGTGACGTCATCCGACAGCCGACTTATGTTGCTATTCCTCAACCATACCTTACTTAGTGAGACCAATGCAAACTCTCTCAGGAGCTGTCAGGAATGGAATTTTAGGAGCCCCATTGTGCTTTCAAGATAAAATTGAATTATACAACAAACTTGATCATAAGTTCAGTCATGTATGACTATATTAGAAAATGCTATGAGAATTGTCCATAAGCGGTAGACTATACAAATTACAAATACAAATTAGTAAAACCAGCAGGAGACCTTGACAAACAAGGTAAAAGAAGCAGCTAGCAAATACAGGGTTAGTTTTCTGAGAAATTATATACATATGTCCTCAAGGAATCAAGTCAGTAGAATGAAGGGATCTCTGGTATGGAACGAGAATACTTATCAGTGGCTGCTCCGGTTGTCAAATATGTAACCCTGGGTTAATTAGTTGACAGGGCAGCTTGAAAACAGCCAATGGGAAACAAACAGACTATGAAATAAACATTGAAAGCTGTTATACAACATTTCTAGGTATTCGTCAGCAACTGAGCCACAAAGCTAATCCTGTACTGAGAAATCTGCACTTTGATCGACGGAGCACGAGAACTTTCTATATTCTTCGTCGGTCCACGGTCTGAACGGTAGCAACAAACTTCATTGACTGCTGTTTTTTCATGCTGAACATGCGAAGCACCTCTCCGCGGATCTGTTGATTGAGGCAAAGATAAATGACGCCGTGAAGTCCTTAATATCATTTTACGGTAGATGAAAAATCAGCAATGTAAGAAAAGCGACTTTGTTTTTGAAAACCATCTTCATCTAGATTTGCAAGAAGTACGGATTTTGTTGCTCAACTGCAATGACATCTCTTCTACAACAGTTTCTTCTTCTCGGCCGCAAGCCGTCCCTTACAGTGAGTTTACAGTCAATTAAGCAATTGCCTACACTTCGCCATAAAACAAGGCATTATCGTTTAAAGAGAACTGTGGATGTGAGGAAGTGGGCTTCGAGATCATCATATATTGCTGACTTATATCAGCCTTCATCACAGTCATCAACTCGCACCTCTCTACTACCCGTCATCGTCGGCGCTGTCGCATCAGTCTGACCATTCGCCAATTCCAACGTTGGAACGGAAGGGTAGAACCGGCTGTTCATGGCTATTGCTTATCAGCACAACTTACAGCCTGTATCAGTTACAATCTCTTTTGATCACTAACCAACTACGGCCTTTCCAACATCATTACCGTTTGGCGAATTTTTTATTTCTAAAAAGGAATTGCGTGTAAGAATGCTCTTATCGAGCTATCCGTCTTGTTGAATGAGTTGCTATCAGTTTTCACAACAAAGCATAAGAACAAAATCAACCCCGTATTCCTATGAAATTTTTATTCGGAATCCTAGCGGCGATTCTGATGCTTCTGTGGCCTTTACAATGACTTGGGGTGACCAGTTGATGTACAAATAATTTTTTTATTCTCCTAGACGAGTCCAAAACCAATTAGATGAATTCTGGAAGGATAGAAGGCTTGTTTAGCTCGGGCTAATATCGATCCGGGATTAGAACCTTGGACCTTGCAGAAGTGATGGTGCGCCACTTGTCGTTATACCACCTAAGGCCTCCAACAAGGGAAATTACAAGTTTCCGATCAGTCATGCATCATAACACACATGGACACCTAAAATTGCAATTATGTATACACCCAGTGGCACCACAATGTGATCTTGAACCAACCATAGAAGAGGACTCTTAGACCTGGCAGTTCTCNTTTAGCTCGGGCTAATATCGATCCGGGATTAGAAACTTGGACCTTGCAGAAGTGATGGTGCGCCACTTGTCGTTATACCACCTAAGGCCTCCAACAAGGGAAATTACAAGTTTCCAATCAGTCATGCATCGTAACACACATGGACACTTGAAATTACAATTATGTATACACCCAGTGGCACCACAATGTGATCTTGAACCAACCATAGAAGAGGACTCTTAGACCTGGCAGTTCTCACATTAGGCACATTCATGTAGTTCCCTTCTACACTAAGTAGTTCGAGGACAGACCGAGAAATCGACAAAGCTGAAAGAAGTATCAATCACTGATTCATATAGAAGATATCTCAAACATAGTGATTTCGATTTTTTGCTTGTCAATGATCTCGAAATATTTACCGTGACCTAATTGCCAAATAATATGCGGTACAACTGCCATTGCGGGTGGTGCAGGAAAAAACCCTAACCAAGCGTAAAGTAGCGCTGTCATTGCAGTGGTCATACAAATGAATAAAGCTTGCGTAAATAACTGAAATATGTATTTTTAATCTCAAAAGATTCAATAAAACGTTTTTTAAAACCATCTAATACCAGCTGTATCTATAACATCCAACAGGTTATAATTTTTATGCAATTTCATACTTATCGAAAATTGGGGACACACAAAATTCCTTACTTATCAAACATTCGGAACAGAAATGTAGAAAATCTCGCGATTTTTCGTCTAAATTTTTTCTCGAATGTTCTGGAAGTTTCCATGGAATTGATGTAAAGAACACTGTTCACTTGTATACGTAGAAGAGCTGTCTTTCCATATCCAAGACAAACTTATTTCACGAGTTCGAATCCAGCTACTTCGAGCCATCGAAGCTTGTGTCAAGCATTTGTTCTTGAAGTCCAATGTAAGCAGCTCTGTGCAAACCTCGTTCCAACGTTTCACAGTTTGTTACAGAAAGGTCAAAAATGAACCTAAACCTGATCAGCCAGTTGCAGTATTGTTAAATCGTCTCAAATGTTATGCGCATACAAGGAACAGCTGTTCCTCCATAGATCCCTATGAAGGCTTCCAGGAAATCCGTAAAGAAATCTGGACTAATGGAAATTTTCAGCGAGTGCTTATCGAACACCTTGAAGGCACAATTCACGGCAAATCTGAGGTACCCTTTCTGAGACGAAAAGTGGATTTATTGGATGAGATGGGAGCATCGATGGCGAAAAAAACTCAGAATTTGCCAACTCAGCAAAAAAGAAGGCTTCCTTAAAATAGTGACAACAGAGGTTGTACGAGATCAACATGACGGAAATGACATGGAAGGGATATTCGAAAGAGATTCGTTGGGTGCGGCATACAGCCAGTACAACTTTTAAGTAATTATAACACCTTATCTAGGCCGTTTTCCGAAATGACAACGTTCCATACGATATACGAGGGGGCCCAAGATTTCTCCTAGAGGGATATCTCAGAAGCCACTTTTATCGTGAAATGTGCCTTTGAGAAATCACTTTTCACACTACCACTTTCGGATTGTTTGAACCTGTTTGTAAGGAATTGTGATATTACTGTAAATATCAAACTTTGTAATTATCACATCACATATACCTGTATTTGCAACTTGTAATTGCCGCCTTTCACAAGACTACGCATTTTGACAATATTGAAGCAAAGAAATGAGTATAATATTAGTAGCACGAATACCACGGTTACATTGTATGACGGCACAAAAAGATGAGCAAATTGAGATGTTTCCTGGAAAAAATTCAATATCAGTGTGAACTTAGAGAAATCGATTAGTTCTTAATATTCAATTACTTCGATGACGTGCATGCTTCTGAATCTGTTTTTGTACTTGGGAATCAATCTTCACCCTTCGCGAAGACGGTAAAGCGACAAGTGGCCCCACTACTACGTGTGTAGCTCTGGGACCGAGTCGCAACGCCAATTTTTTTGAGATCCAAGCAATGGTTTGAACATTTTGTTTTATAAGTTTGTTAGTACTTTTATTTATTGGTTTCGGCACCAAGAATCTGTACACAATCCTTTATAAAACGCTTTCTTATACTTTATTAGGCAGTTGCCGATCCCTAGAAAGTGATGTTCTGTAAACTGCTAGGGTACCGAAAAAAGAACAAAAAACGAGTGTATTTACGAAGCTCACTTGATTAGCGTTATCGGTAATGACTGGCGATATTATGTAAGTGCCGATTACTGAGTTGAAAGGATGTATCCGTGAGATGAACGGTAGAGTCGCCATGTAGACCTCCGATAAGACAATCCATGATAGAAGTAGCTTTCCTGAGAAGGGACCTTCATTACTAAATCCCACTCTAAAGAAAACTGAAAAGGCAGCCTCAGCCGTTCGAGGCATTGTAATTGTACTACTTGCTTCCTTTCTATAGTTTCATGATACGTTATAGAAGTAACAAGAAAAAAGACGTCCGACTACTGCTATATAATTGTGGTTCTATTCCTTCCGATCGGCTGACAGGGTCGGCTATCGGTGATTACTTCATCACTAACTTCTTGAACGATTGCTAACTTTTGGCTGATGCCATCATAAAAACGGCCGGTAAACAGTACACTTTAAAGAATAACAACACACCTCTGAACAAAAAGCCAAGCATACTAGCTGAAGGAGTCATCTCAACAACTCGATTCAAAGCCAATACCATACAGTTGAACGATCCTCCGACCCACATACCTAAATTAGGTAACCTCAGAGCAATCCTACGTATCCCTTGGAAACGTAAATCGCTTTCAACTTTATGGAAAGTGTTTGTTGGTAGCACAAAATTAGAGAGTACAAGATTAGCAAAGCCATCTGCTAACATTGCAAAACTAACACCACGAAAAATGGCCGGCAATCCAGTTGAGTGCAATCGAAGAACAGAAAACTGCGCCAGTCTAAATAGATATTTAATAAGACCCCGAAGCTTTTTCACCAAGATAAAAAGAGCAGATTTGTGTTCGACGATGAGATGATCTTGTTCTGAAGCACACAGAGAGTGGTTTCTACACCACTAGTATATGTACAGAGATTTGACCGCAAGTTTTGCTACGTAAATTTCTCAAATACTCACGAAATCAAAGTATGCAGTCATAAAAGAAGCAACGAGTAGATCCATATTATCGATAATGCCATTGAAAAACATTAAACGATAGCA